AGATTCTAAAGTCGTCTGAAGACCATGGTTGAAGCCAATGGCGATTTTACTGAATATATTTACTCCTTAGTATTTCAAGATATTTTTGTGTAATTTTGGTAAATATATCTGTTAAAATGTGATGTCAGTGTTATTTTCATTTTCAATTAATTCAGATGACAATTTATCCATCGCATCCTGTATATATTGCATTTATTTTGGTGCTTACATATAGTTTCTAATATTACTTTTCTGTAACTATAAAATAACAGTATTTTTAAAATAGAGTTTTAAATAAAGTTTTAAATATATGTATTTCAGTACTAAGTTCAGAAATATTTTTTTAAAAATTCAGTATGTTTCCTGTGATTTAGCTTTGTGCATTGATATTTTTAGTGACATTTGTCCCCAACATCTGATTGAGTCATCCAAAAATTCTCTGCTACATTTGTCTTTTATTTTTAAGAAAAAACAAAGAAAGTTGAAACTTGTAAGCCTCAATAATAACAAAGTTATTATTTTTGACTGAAATACATTTCAAGATTGCAATAAAAGCATTAGTTATTATATTTAGCTGTATATTCACTTTTAACACAGCAAATAAGAAGAAAATACAAAGAAAGAGAATAATTTAAGATTGAAATAAAAAAAATAAATGGATAACCATTTTGTCTTGTGTATTTTGAAGGAGGAAATGCAACACTAAATTTTTACAAGTTTTTGATAAAGATCAAAGTGTTACATCTGTTCTTGACAATCCTTTATATTACATGTCAAGTTAATATCACACACATCATTGACAATTTTCCATTTCACATAATGCTTTATAAATGTGGCTTTGGGCTAGATTTGGCTAAGTTCAGATAAATCAATTCTCATAATTCAATTAATTGAATTATTAATTCTAATCCAAAACTTGAAATTGTCAATCTTAAAAAAATAAGTTATCTTGTGTTTACTCTGATAAGTAATTTATGAGAAAATAATGCAATAGCATAAAAGTTTTAAATGTTTCAAACTAAAAAGCAAAATATTAACTGGATATCTTGTAAATGTATAGTAGTAATTGTTCTTTAAATTGAGCATAATTTTAAATTCCACCCACAAAAGCAAACTACAGTTTTCTAGTTATTCAACCCACACAAAGTAATGGCATTTCTCTGTTTGATTCTCTTGTTCTCCCCCAATCTCATTGGTGGTAGAGTCAAAATTGTCCACCTCAACCAACACATTTACAACAATTTAGCTCAGACAAAAAATGTTTACTAGAAAAAACTAGTGAAATGTATCTATTTTTAAAATGATTTTTTTTAACACTTAAATATCTTAAATGAATTAAATTTACACAGAAGAGTAGTCATCAGTATTGAGCTGTTTAGATTTAACTAGACATCGTTCCACTTCAAGAGGCATGGATGATGTAATGGTTATTGATATGAATTTGGTGTGCCGAATTCAATTAATGCTCAATTCTGTTTCATTTACTTCATGATAAAGCCCTTGGAAAAATGCACAATCTCATATTCCTCCAGCTTTGGGTTAAACAGCAGGGCAGACTGTTCTCTCTTGCCTTCAAGTGCCAACCAGTCTCGGAGAAGGAAAATCTGAATTCAAATCCAGCCTGAAGAGGGTGTTTGATCTTGCCCAAAATGCACAGCTACAGCTATAATACACGTGATGCTCTTATGACTTTTTATTATCAACTAGAACTTGTCATATTACAAGTACTAGTTCATAATAAAAAATGATATATCCATCTTTCAGTGTTTGATTATTTATGCACCAATATTTTAGGATTTTGGTATTCCTTCAAAAAACCCATTAATATTACTGTTTCAAGTAATTTTACTATCCATGGATCCATTAATAATTCTGTTGGCAAAGAAAAGCTTGATACCATGCAGCATTAATGAACAAGGCTCAAGGCCAATATTTTTAGCATTATTAGAGTGTATGTAGCACAATCAGTATTCAGTTGTAGCAGTAAAATATAATCATTTTTAATAGAAAGGTGTTACAAACGGTATTGGACTTCAGTTGAAAACTTACAAAATAAATGAATTCAAAAGATCTGTGTTTTTTTGCATATATATTTATATACATTTATATGTATATAAAGATATATATTTTTTATATATATCTTATTATGCATAATCAAAATTCTTTTGATTCTTCCGAAGTTCCTAAGAATCAAATACGAAGATAATGGTTAAGTGGAGAGCAAATATCAATTTAATCAATTTATTACAATTTTGAGCATGTAAAAATTATAAAAAGTGAAACAAAATTTATGTTTAAATTGTAAAATCAAAGACCATTAAATCATATTTTCAGTCAAATATGTGCCTTTTCTATAAATACTTTCATGGTAATTGTTCTGATAAACTTTCTTCTATAGTAGCTAGTTTTTATGAAAGTACTATATTGGTAGCAAAATCTCATGATCTTACAGTTGAAATGCCTAGAAATAACTGTAAGTTCTATGCTAACAGTTTCTTCTCTTCCACTTCTCACTTGTGGAACTCTCTTCTGACTTCTTGCCTTCCAGTCAAGTATGATCTTCAAAAATTTAAATGCAATGTCAATTGTTATACTCCGTCTTCTTAATTCCTGTTCTTTTATTGTTCTCACTTTGTAATAGTTTTTTCTCATATTCTCTCTTACTCTACTAATCCCTTGCAGCTTAGTGGCTTTATTGCTCTGGTTGGGATGTAAAGATTTTTAAAAATGTATTTACAAAGAAGACTTAGCATTAAAATACATATGGATACATATACATGCATAGACACACATCAGTATTGGTACTTTATTCTTTACTTATGCTCAATAGCAAGCAGATGAACTGTAGTCAGTCACCATAAAGATCATTGGTAAAGGCCAGTCCTCTGAAGTACCTGAGATCAATGCTGACAGTCCCCAAGACTCTCTCCAGATTCCTAACCTCTTTTTGCTTTATATTAATGATCTGCCTAAGAACATTGTCAGATCATTAATAAATATATATGCAAATGATACCACTCTACCTTAAGTGGCACATGGGCCTTTCTTTTGAATGAACTAACAGTAAAAAATAAGTTGGTACAACAGTAGATACTTGTACTTGTTTCATTTAACTGTGGTAGTATCTATAGAGAAACTTTTTGAGAAGTTATCTGTGGATCTTTAGATGGCAGTTTTGTGAGCAGCAGTCAGTCAAGTTCCTTTGAACTTGATACATTAACAGTCAGTCTTTTGACATGAGTGAATTTTGTTCTACTGAATATTTCAGGTGGCTGGCTTGTTTTTGGTTTTTCAATTAACTATTGGCTTAATGATTTAGGACTTTTGAAAACTAAATGGAACCATTTGATTGGTTATTCTGTTTGAACAAACATATGATATGTTTTCAGTTGCATCCACCAAAATCAAACTAGTTCAAGTGAAGCTGATTTACTTTTTCTTCTCAGAAACAGATATGAGCATTATGTCCATTTATTTGAGCTCTCTGATTGGTTGCTAATTGTTTGTGGTGTCTTCTTCATAAATAAATAAAGAAAAAGTTATGTTAAAAAATCCTTGCTAAAAAAAAAATGCTTCTTATTTTATTTTTATATCAGAGACAAATGCAGATGGTATATCTGTAGCAGATAAACTGTCCCAACAAAAACTCTGAAATTTTGTTCTGAAGGTTTTTTTTTTTATTGCACATTATAGCTGATCAGTTGTCTGGTCAAATGACATTTGATATGAAAATACATACAAAGCAAAAATGTATCATTGAATTCCTCCAGGCAGAAAAAAATTGCATCTATTCACATTCATTGATACTGAATGTTTATAGAAACCAAACAGTAGATATGAGCACAGGCAATGCGTTTCAGCAGTAACAGTGATGTTTATGATAAGCAATGTTTTGAGTGATTCTGTACTTTTGTTCATTGCTGGAAAAAATGTATAGCCAATGGTGGTGGCTATGTAATAGTGTTTTGCTACAAAATGCTTGCTCTATCCTGTGGTGTTATTGTGCTCCCTGTATCTATTGGATTTTCCATGGAAATAAATAGGAGGAATTACTTTCAAAGTGTACCACATGTATAAATTCTTTAATATTTTTTTTTTTTTATAAAAGATTGGTTTTAAAAAATAAAGTTATAGATGTTGGGCACAAAGTCTTGGAGAAAAATTATTTTAGGTTCGTTTTTGTATGTGAAGCTGTTGAATTAGTTCTTTATAAAAAGCATTTTTTTTTTGTTTTGTGACACCAGGGATAGGCATTGTTGCTGTAATTAGACAGATAAATAACACACTTATCTGTAAAACAGTTTTTCTTGATTAAATATTTAAAGATTTAGATGTACTTTTAATTGACTTAACACCAATCTTAAAACCATGAATGCTAAACAACATTTCTCAAGATCTTTTTTTATACATCTTTGTAAATACCCATTTGTGTATGACTTTTGTTTGATTCTTGAAACATAGAAATTTATCATTGCTTTTTACCTTATTTTCTCATTAATTCTTGATATTGTTAAAAAGAAAAGCTTCCAAATTCTGCTTTTCTGTAAATTTATGTATTATTTGTTCCAATTCATCAGTTTTTAAGTTCTAATGACTTATACTGACTTCAAAATCGTATTTTTAACCTTCACAAACCATTCCAGAAACATGTTTGCACCTACTGCAATACTTACCATAACAACTTCTTCAGTGATCTATTGCATATATTTTGTTACATGTTTTCTTATATTAAACCAGTGTTGAATGTGCATTTTATATTCTTAAAGAATTTTCATTGATTGATTAATTGATTTTTTATGGTTTATCAACCTTTTACAGAAAATATTTTTAGATTGCAAGAATTATTTTTTGGAGGTAATTTAATGATACAAGTCTAACTAACTGGGGGGAGAAGAACTGGATTCATATCTTTCCCAAGGGTATTTGCATGTAATTGAATATAATGAACCCAAGTGGAATTGGAATACAGCTCACCAATTTACCAATTCCAATCCATTATCCATTACACGTTTACATCCAAGCTTACAGCACCTGGTATTCTCAAGTGGTCACCCATCTAAGTACTGACCAGGCTCCACATTACTTAACTTTGGTGATTGTATGAGAATCAGTGTTTTCATTGTGATATAGTCATAGGCCATATTAAAGTGTATGCACATAAAAGCAAAAAGGTTTTTACAGACAGCTTTACTTGTATCTATAATGATATCAATTAACTGGTTAATACAAAATGATTTAAATGGCTTCAGTTTAAAATGTTTCATTATTATTCTGAGAATGGAACATGGATGACCGTGCTCAAAAAATGTCTTCAAAAAAGATTTTTAAAACAACCTTGACATAATGCTTTTAATGTTGGTTGATGATGGCTAAAATATTTTAAGCTGGGAATATTTACAGTAGAAAATTACTTTTTTTATATTGCTGTTTAATCTCAGTTTGTGGCATACCTTCTTAATATCTATGTAAATCATTCTCATATATCTATTCTTTGTCTTAGCTATGCACTCAGACACTGGCTATCAGTTTTTCTTACATATATATACACACACACACACACATATATATATATATATATATATATATATATATATATATATATATATATATATATATATATATATATATATATATATATACATATATATATTTCATTAAATATGGCAGACAAGGGAAATTTAATTAATTTTTTATTTGCTTTTTCATTTTATGTTTTTCCAATTTAGTGGGAGTACAAAAATTTTCTGCAATTTTTGTGGCCCCAAGCACTTCTTAAGCCATTTTCATCAAACAAAATATGTAAAGATACTGGGAAAACTAAATAAAAAATTAATTAAATCTTCCTTGTCTACTATATTTAACAAAAGATGTTTAAAAGAAAGGTTGCTGCCCAAATATACATTAATATATATATATATATATATATATATATAGTCATAAGTTATGTTATATTTATGAGTAAAAGTGCTCAATATCAGGATTAGAGTGTATGTAATTATAAAAGTGGAAACTGTGGTTAACACCAAGTGGCAGCATTCTGTTTCATGGTCTGAAGATTGCGTTCAAGTCTGAAACAGACTGTCACCACTCAGTATTGATCTTTAATATATATATATATATATATATATATTTAATTAAATCTAAAAAGAAAAGAAAGAAATTTAATAGGAAATGGAAAATATATAAGACAATTTGGAAAACTTCAACTTTGACATGTTTCATTGAGAATTGGCATCATCAGAAAAAGAATTTTATTTCACAAAACCAAAATCTACATTAACAAGACAAAACATGATTCACATTAAACAGCTAAATAGGTTCATCTATTGCCCAGTTCACACCCCCTCCCATCTTTTGAATAGCAGTATAAGTTTAAAGATTAAAAAAATGTGGTATAGAGGTAAATATCATGTCATCTACCTTTGTGTGAACGTATGTCAGCACAGTACCTGGGGGGGAGGTTAGTAAAAGAATAAACGTTGCTTAGAACGTGGAGAGCCATGATAGCCCATGTCTTTAAAGAAAAGAAGAATGATAATAATTGTTAAGCATTTTTATAAATCATGACTTTGAGAAAAACTTGTTATTAATTGTGAATTAAATTGATAAAAAAATAAAACGTTATATTATTTGTTAAAGGATGACTGAAATTTATGCCACAGCTGCATCTTCAACCTTGGCCTTTATTGGGTGAGCTGTTAATTTCACATCATTTACCTTAGTTTCCTGTCTTTGATTCTGAACTCAACCTTCTGTTCAGACAATTAGCTTGGATTGTCTCTGTACTGATCAAACTGACAAGTCATTGCATTTCTAGAAAACAATACTTTTTGTACTAACAATAGCAGTGCATAATTCACTTGATATAAAATACTTTGAATGAACCTGAATGGCAAAATCACATTTTATTTGATCTGAAACCTGGGTTCAGCTTTCTTGCCCCTGAGTTTTACATATAAATAACCAGTCTCTACTTAGTTTTGTTCTTTTGTTTTGTTACCAACTGCATTTACAAATTCTTCTATGTGCAGTATCCCTTCAAGTCATCGGCAATCATGGCTCTCCACAACCTCCTATCCCATGTAGTCCTTAGCAATGTTTATCCATTTGCCAAAACTCCCACCCCTGTTCAGCCATCCATTCACACAAGGTTGGTGGCTCACTGTTTTCTCCTATCCCTTTTTCTTTCAATATGTCCTGTGAGTGCCAAATTCTCCAAGCCCTCCTTCCTCGTATCTGAGAAATTTCAGTTATTTCTTTTTTGTTTCCATTTTCCTTAAAATTTCTTTGTTGTTTACATGTTCCATCAAATTTTCAAAGGCAATGATTTTCATGTGTGTGTTGTTTTTGGTGGGTGGGAGCAGCCTGCTCTTAGCAATTGACATGAACTCACAATCCTACATTACATGATTTTTATCATTACCCTAAAAGCTTTATCTTTCCCTTTTGGTTTTCACTCTAAAATGTTTCACAAAATTTTGATAGTCAACATTGACCTCTGAGGAAATTTTTGATTTAGAATCAGCTTATTTTTCTAAACAAATAAACTGCAAATTGTGTGTGTCCCGCCGTGTGTCTGAAATGCCTCTAATTTGAGCCACACTTGATCTACACATATTTACCTTTTTGGAATCAGGATGATCTCGGGATTAAAAATTTGCTCTTCAACTGGTGTTGAACATCCATCATAGGGATTTGTGCCCAAATGAGAAGGAAAAAATTAAAAATTAAAATTTTAAAATAACTGAAAAAAATTAGTGATCTTAAAAGTTTTTAATCAATATTGAGTTTAAAGTAACACAAAAACTTTGTGAATTTAAACATTTTTGTTGTAAATTCAGTTTAAAATATCTCCAAAACTTTGTGAATTGAGGAACTCAATTTTATTTCTTCAAAATGCCAAAGAATAAGAGTTAAAGTGAGAGGTTTCATGGCATGAAGTTTTTAAGTTCCACAGACTTTGTGATTTGAAGAACTCAATTTTCAGCCTGGATTGTAATTTTGGCCCAAATCGAAGTTTTGGCCCAAGTCAGATTTTTGACCCAAATCAGTCTTTTGGCTAGATTTAGACTTATAGCCTGAATCAGAAGTGAGGTTTTGAAGTTCCATGGAGTGATTTGAGGAATTCCAAGTTATTTCTTCAGAATTATCATTACTGTTTTCTAAGCTGGACTAGAGGTCCCTTTAGTTTCGGGCCAGAGGCCCACTTAGCCCTCTGCAGGAGCTAGCTTAAAAGTATAGACAGAGTGCAGCTTTTAAGCTAGTTGCTAATAAATCTGACTATAGAAATATGAATTTTTTTTCAAAGCACAATATCATAAATATTACATTATTAAAGCAGTGTCATAAATTGATGAAGTTACACTTGATATCATTAATAAGGAATATTATTTAATTCATGTTAAATCATATCTTTAATAATTTAGTGTTTTCGCAAATTAAAAACAGATCTCATCTCTAACATCTCTAATATTCAAGACTTGAGCTCAAGTAAATGGACCATGACAATTGATCATTTTTGGAGCAAATTCCACCTGGGACATCCTTATTCTGCCACCTCTTTTGTTAAATATTTAAATGAAATGAGTTCTCTTAAAATGCTTGCAGTCTAAATTAAAAGTTAGGAAGAAATTTCCTGAATATTTAATAAAAGGGGTGATTGGAATAGGTATGTCCCAGGTGTTTGATCCTCTTGGCCTGTCTATTTGAAACTCAAAGCTAAGTTAATTTCCTCCTAAGGTCTTATTTTAAAGATAACAGATGAAAAATTATTAATGCTGTGTTACACAATATTTATTTTTGCTATTAAAAGTCAGATGCATACCATAAGGTATTTTATATTTACATATTGTGTTGGATGAGGAATTACTTGATGGATTGAAATATACTTTTACTTGGAATAATTTTCAACTGACCTACTTGCAAACTGATTAAATCTGTGAAGGAGAATTCATTTGTTAACATAATTAGAGCATTTTACATGCACATCTGTGACTGATAAATGATTGATATGAAATATTTGAACAAAGTATATGTGATGGATTTCATGAAAACCTGTTGGATGGTTAAATTTTTATTTATTTTCTTGTTAGTGTTTCATTCTTTTTTAACATTTTCAAAACAACCCAAAAAATGTAAAGAAACAAACAGTTGCTTAAAAACTTTAAGGTTAATTTTGAAAAAAATCAACAGTTAATAAAATTGAAAAATAAATATCAGTGAACAAATAAAAGATTAGTTGATAGGAAATATGGTGATTTGATAAAAAATAAACAAAGAAAGAAAGAAAATTATGGTGAGATGTTCTGAAAGCCTATTTTTTTATTAATCAAATTTGATTGTTATATCATAGCTGATTCAGTAATTATTTAAGATGAGTTAAGATTTAACTAACCATTTTTGTGCTTTCAAAAATTAAAGAATTATTGTATTTTCTGTATAGGAGAATAAGGAATTTAATGCATCCTCCAGTTTTATAGATCTTTTCTGGTCATAGAGTGTTTTTATTTAAAACTTTATTGTATCTCAAAAGTATAATGAATACACAAATGAATAATTAAAACTTTTAATCAAATTCTTTACATTCTTTAACTTTTAAACAATATATATTTACTAATTATATGTATTCACTATTATCTTTGGGGATACAGAATTTATTTTTGTAACCATAATTTTTATTTACTTATTTATTCCTACCTCAATTTACTATATTTTACATTTATTTTAACATTTTCCATTGTACAAATCTCACTGATTTGTTCACAGGTATCTATTTTTAAATTTTATTAACTGTTAAAATTTTTCAAATTAACCACAGCTTTTCTTAAGTAGTAGGGTAGCCATGATAATGATTTGTTTCCTTAGATTTTTTCAATTATTTTGTTATGAAAATAAATAAAAATTTAAATTTCCAACTGGTTTTCAAAAATTCCATCTTACATGCACATCTAATGGTGACAGCAACCTCAGAGTATATTTAACCTCCATGTAAAACAATAAAGACGACATTTGAATATAGGTTAAGGTTAGTCTGATTTTGGTTTGCTTAAATTGGTAGAGATGACATCACAATAAAAATAGAATGTTCTTTTACTTTTCTGAATTTTTCATTGGTATTCAAATGATTATCTTTCTCC